TTCAATTGTTTATCTGATTCATGGGATTTTAAAATGATAATTAAGGCTACTTGTCATTCTCCCAGTCAGTTAATTACTCATTTTTTCAAATCAGTTGTTGCTGGTTTTGGTTTGGTTTGGTTTGGTTTGGTTTACGGCATATAAACCTTAATGGGTTATTTAATGCTGACAAGATTTTTATTGCTGAGAGTTTTTTTCTTCAAAAAGGTATAGCTGGTAGTATTTTTTCTTCAAAAATTTATTGCTGGCATTAAAACCTATTTTTACACTTTCATAGTGTTTTGACTCCAGTTTGGGGGTTAACTATTTGCCCATAGTTGGGACCCTAACAGGTGCTACCACCTTGGATCAGGGTGGACTTGGTAACACCAGCAATTAAGAGGTGGTTCCATGCTCCTCAAACTCTCCTGATCAAATGCCTTGCTGTTGGACATAGTTTATCACCTTAGACAAGATATGGATATAGTTTATTGTCTTACTCAGGATACCTCATTTGGGAGGGGGGTTCTTACCTCTCTGCAGAGGTATAGTTGGCATATTCTGAAGCCCCAGATGAAGCCTGGATGTTTTAAAAAGAGACTGAAAAAAAAATTAAGGAATACATATTATCAATCAGAATATAAAAATATAAAAGTTTTTTTTCCTGGAGAGTGTGGGAGAAGAGAGAATAAGCTGTGTTGACATCCAAGGTCAGATGCAAACAAATACATGGTGCTCTTGCTATGTTTCACAGAGCCAAGATCAATGTCAACAAAGAATAACAACAAATGCTTTTCCAGACACTTGTTTGATCAGGAAGTAGCAAAAAAATACAATTTCTCACTTAGTTCTGGCCACGGAAAAACAGACCCTTAGACACTCTCTGCCTGGATGTTTCACTACTTCTGGCTGCTTCATCGACTCCTGGCCTTTTCACTGACTCTTGGCCCTTTTACTCACTGCCTGCTGGCCATTTCACTCACTGCAGGTCCTTTCACTGACTGTGTCATCACAAATATAACAAAATACAATTTTTTATAGAATAGACTTTCACAAAAATTTCCTTTTGTGTATCTTTCTCATAAAGACAGATAATGGGTCAAAATATATAAAGGCTCTGTAATGGGGTTGAATGTTGGGTATGTTAATGTAAGTTACTCTGTTCTTATATATATTTGTAGTTGATAGACTATTCCTTTTCACCTTTTTTTCTGAAAATGAAATGAATAAAACATACAACAATAGCAACAATAAGACTTTGAGACATGTGTTTACGTTAATGACAAGAATGTGTATTTTTCTTTTCATGATGTCAATTACAATATTAGTAGTATGTGTGTTAAAAATGTTTTCAGTGTTATTGTCTCATTTGTTTCTTTAGAAGTTTGTGCTTACTTGTTTTGCTTGTTCTAAGAATTTTGTGGTTAAGGGTAGCATTTGAAACCGTCAACTGTCAACTTTCATGGAGTGAAGGTGATATGTCTGTGTTGTTCCTTTTTGCTAATGCTACTCTACTGTCTTTTCTTGTGGTGGAAGTGTTGTTTTTATAATGATGAAATTTCAGATTTTAGAATGATGAAATATCATATATTATCAGCAAGGTTGTTTTAGAATGATGAAATTTTTATCTTTATTTCTAGGATGATGAAATATCCTTATCATCAATCATCACTGGTGGAAAGGTTGTTTTTAGAATGATGAAATATCATCATCATTCTGAATCATAACAGCTCTTAAAAAATATACAATATAATCTTCAAAAATTAAAAAAACTGAGAAGGTAAGAAAACTTAGGTGAGTTCACATTTTTTTAAAGAGTATTTTCAACCTTAAGGTTGAAAATACTCTTTAAAAAAATGTGCACTCACCTAATCAGAAGACAAAAAAAATCCACTTGTGTCACTGGAATCTTTAACAATTTTTTTAGCTTTTGCTTCTGAAGTCTAATTTTCCTGCCTTCAGGACAAAGTTTTCATGCCTCCTTGTCTTCTGACTTCTTTTCACTCCTTCTGGTTCAAAATTATATTATCTTTTGGTAAATAAAATAAGGATATTTCATCATTCTAAAAATAACCTTCTCATCATTGATGATAGAAAAGAAGGATATTTCATCATCCTAAACCTTGTAGAATTAGATTTCTACATTCTCCATTTTAAACATGTTAAAAGAGGATCACAGCTAAGTATTCTCAGTTTGTACTCAACCCATTAAAATCCATTCTGGAGTTCACTATGAAACAATGCTTTCTGATTGGTCCATAAATAATAATGTCATGTTTCTGCCTACATCCTCATGGTTGACCCCGAGTTGACCTGTTCAGAGTTCAACACGTAAAAAAAAAAAACCCCAAAAAACAAACAATATGTAAATGTTCTCAAGCCCCACGTGATCAAGAAAAACTCATAAATATGAAACTTTGACACAACTTGTTCAGTGAGTCCTTAAAATAATCAACTCATCACACGAATCCATGAAACCCACCTTCCTTGCTGAAAGTTGATTTTTATTAACATGAACCCAGCTTGTGGAATTCAATTTCTTTTTAACATCAACTCATCTAGTGATGAATTCAACTAAGACGAGATTCAGAAACCAACTCACTTAATATCTTAACATAAAGGAAATTGTAACTATATCAGTCGAAGCAAGACAACTCTACAGTAAGTCAAGCAATCTACTTCATTCAATTTCATCAACATAAACTGTTTAATTCCTTACCAGATCTATAGCATAACACCTTTATATATTACTCTTGATCACAAAACCAAGAACTCTAAAGTATTTTAAACAACTTTATTATATCGTGTGTACTTGTTGTTAGATAAAAATATTTTCTGTTAAAACAAATATCTATTTGATTATTTCTCTTGTTGTTGTCTTTGTTGCATTTGATTTAGTAAAAATAGTAGGGGGTCAGTTTAATTTGTATTTGTCACTGATACAGATTGATTAACCCACTACACCCTCACCATTATAAAAACGACCCTTCCACCACAAGAGGGTCAGTAGAATAGAGAAGAGAACAGTAGACTAAGATACTCAGTAGTCAGTGGATGAGTAGACAATTAGCAGGAGTAGTACAGAAACACACGTCTAAACAGTGCTCATGAAGATTGAAAACAGATGATTTCAAGCGCCATCCTCATAAACAAAATTCTTGGAACCAAGTAAGCACCAACTTTTAAACAAAAGAGACACTGTGAACATTTTTACACACACCACACCAATATCCTGCAATTCACATCATGAAAAGAAAATACAAATTCTTGTTATTCATGTCAACACGTGTCTCAAGTTTTTATTGTTATCGTTGCATGTTTTATGCATTCTAATTTCTGTCATTAATCCTGTTACAGGATTTTAACTTTAAATTTACATGGGTGGAAGTCACTGTTTTGATTGGACAATAAATGCAAAGAGTATATATTTATCAAATTTGAAAAATAAATTTTGATCAGCTTGACAGAAATATTTTTGGTGGTTCCTTTAGAGCCAATTCTAAATATAATAACTTTTGCAGACATATCAAATTGAATTTTTATAAACTGTCTGGTTTTCTTTTAAATGCACTTATCCCAGGAATAAGTGTAAATGACATAGGTAGACTATTATGATAATATTTATTTATAATTAACCACATTAGACATTATTTTTATTTATTTTTTTATAATAATCTTACTTATTATAAAACGCAGATTGTGTGTGTGTGTGTGTGTGTGTGTGTGTGTGTGTGTGTGTGTGTGTGTGTGTGTGTCTGTACGTTTATATATTGGATTGGATTTCCTACATTTTTCAACCGATTTCAACAAAACTTCACAGGACTACGTAAAATTACCTTGAGGTGGTTCTGACAGCGCCAAAGATTGGGAAAACACAATTGTTTTTGCACAAAATCAATTTGAAGACACGATTAAGAGGCATTAATGAAAGGGGGACAACTCATATCGAGTTATACTTATTATAAAACCCAGGTTGGTTGTTTTGTGTGTGTGTTCCGTTTATATATGGGATCGGATTTCCTACATTTTTCAACCGATTTCAACAAAACTTCACTTTTTTTTGGCAGGTAGTGTTTCTTATTGTCTTGCACACTTTTTTCTTTATTTTTACATTCAGAATGCTTTAAAAATTCCATTTACAAGGCAATTGTTTATAATAAAATTCTATTCAATCGATAGATTCATGACGATTGAAAACAATGGTTTTGTTTGAGTTTGGGTTTGACCAATTCATAAAAAAAACAAAAAACAAAAAAACTAATTAAGACATTCGTGTCCGTCAACCTTAAACAATAATCATTGTCAATTTTATTTTTCAGTCTTTATGATGGTCGATACTTGGTCTATCTCTTACTGCTACATCCACGGGCAACGCCGGGCTCTACTGCTAGTTTTATAATAAATTTATAAATATACATTTGTGGTAAGACAACCTAATTACCTCCCTTGGCTTATTATTCGTATAAGTCACGCCGTCTTAGCTAAAACGGAATGATTCTTTTTAGTTATGTTCAATAAAGGCACATTAAGCCGATCTAGGCTGCAAGTTTTCATTTACATCATTATTATTTTTTGTGACTATTTTTCTTTTCAACTTATTTTTTTTACAATATTCAAGTTATTTTACAATTGTTAAAAATGTTAAGCAACAAGTTGTTTGGATAAGTACCCCTCACCACGAGATCTGAACTCGTGTTATTTTTTTTTTTTAGTTTTATTGTAAAAATTACAACTGGATATAAGAAATGGACAGTTCCCTTCTGTTATTTCCACTTATTACTGCTTTCTTAACAGTCATAGAATGTAAAACTGTGAATTTGAAAAAAAAAAAAAGGATTAAAAATCAAATAAAAAAAAAAATACTAAGAAATTTGGACGACTTTAAGATTATAAAAATTGTCGTGGTTTTGTATTTGTGGCCTTTTTCGGTTCACCTTCCTTTTAAGTACACAGGAATATGTGACGTTTTCTACATGTACTTTTTGATGACGTAGTTCACACAGTTACCCTCGTGTTTCAAGATGGCTGAATATGCCGACTTGGAAATTATTGTTGGTACTTATGAAGAGATTTTACTTGCATATCGCGTCACTGTAGTTGGAGAGGTGAGTTTGTCTGTGTAAACGGATAATATTAGTTATTGAGTATAATTTATTCCTATATTTGTATTATTTATGTAAAGCGAATTCGATTTTATTTTTTTTAATTTAATCATGTTGACATTCAATCAACCGATTTGATTGAAATGAATGTTTAACGTATTATTCTCATTTTCTTGTGTCCAGAAATAATTGTTTGATTTAAATTTTAATTTATTATTTACTTACTTACAGTACATTACACTATTTGAATAAATTGTACTTTTAACTTTAAAATTTTTTTTTAATACATTGTTTTTTTGTGTTAGTTTTTCTCCGTGTTTGGTTGCATTCTCTATAATTGAAAGAAAAGTGAAAAGAAAAAAAAAGTACAATAAACTTTAAAAATATTAAATAAAATATGGTTTAAATATAAAAAGAACGATATTAGTAAATATTTAATTTTGCTACAGCGAGTCTAACCCGATCAATCAGTTTTGATTTTTGAAAAAAATTCATGTGGAGGTTTCTTCCCACGTGGACAAAAAATACAACATAAAAAAAACGATTATTAATGTTTGACGATTAATCACCTTATGAACATTCATATAAGAATAATTAATAGCAACACTATTTCAACTAATAAAATGACCAGTGAAAATTATATACGATATTGAAGAAATTAAAACAAATTTTCTGATTTCTCAATTGATAGCATTTTATGCCTGAATTGGTTCTTGTGAATTTTCTTGAATTTTGGCTTTGGATAATAATTACAAAAAGAAAAGTATTATGCAATCTGTACCGCCAAAGATTCTCAAAAAGAAGAAAAAAAAACCATTTAGCAGGCATATATGAAAAATGCACCAAACAGAACTTTTATGATCGTCAAAATATTTTATTTTGACGATAAAACTTCGAGTAGGCAAGCCTAACACTGATAGTAGTCTGGATGAAATCTCCCACCTGGTTTTACTCAAGAGAACTGCGCTAGTGGCATGGTCATCGAGGGCCTGGATGACTCGTATGATCCCTTCTTTTTGAATCCTATGAGGACGTGCCAGAGGACATCATACCCGATCAAATACTTTCTTGAAATCGATGAAACAGGTCCCTCTGGATTTGCAGATGTTTCTTGATGAGGGCCCTACAGTTGAAGATTTGTTTCAGTGTGTTCCGCACGGCTCTAAAACTTGCCTACTCTTCTGACAGCAGTTTTTCAGCCTGGATTTTAGACACTTTTGGGACGGAGCATGACCTTGGTATCTTGGTTTATCAGGTTTGTTGTTCTATAATTCTGGCATTGCTTGAGATTACTCTTCTTTAGTAAGAGTATCACCAGTGACTGGGTCCACTCTTTTGGCCACCACTACTGTTCACTGTTAGGCCCTTGACAGTTTCTTCAACTTCATTTTTAACCAGTTCATAGGGTACATTGTCCACTGTAGGTGATTAGCCAGGTTTCAGTTTACTTACTGCCTCTTCTACCTCCTCCTTCAGTATTGGCAGACTGTCTTCATCTTCTAGGGGGTACTGGTTGGCTTGCAGTAAAGAGATATCTGTATGGAGCACATAATTGTACTAGAGGAGGCACGGTGGAGTAATGGATAGTGGCTCGGATTGAGGAATTGGAGAGCTGAGTTTGAATTCCATTTGAATCCATTACATTCACTAATGTGCTAATACCCCTTGGGAAAGGTATTAATCCTATTCTTCTCCCTCCAGCAATGGGTAAATAGCAGGACAGGTTGAATTCTCTAGCCTTTGATGGCAACTGGTCTACTGTAAAAAGAAATGGCAACCTATTTTGTGAAAAAAATCTTCCTCGTTAGTCCTGTATCAGAAGGTACAGATTGCCTAAGCATTTATCACGCATGGCACATAACTGACTGAATTGTACAGATCGTTGCAGTATTTGGTCCACCTATATAAGACTTCCATTCTGTCAATAGGTTGCCATCTTTGTTATCTATGATGGCTGCTCTTGGCTGGCTATTTTGGTGATGGATTTGAGGGTATTTTAGGAAATGCTGTCACCTGATTTTATGCCTTTCTCAATGGTGCTGTACTAAACCTTTATCCATTCCTCTTTAACTGCTAATAACTTTTTCCTGACTTCTCTTTGCATATTTTGGTACTGCATTCAAGATTCATCATTTGACTATTTATTTCTTCTTAGCTTTCATCTCTTGTTGCACAAATTCAGGACTTCTTTTGTAATCCGGAGCTGAATTTTCTTTTGTGGCTTTCGCAGAACCTCTTCAGCTGTTGTAAGACTTCTTTGATGTTGAATGCGAGAGTGTCTGTCTTGCTGCCAAGCAGGCCGTAGGCTGAAAAATTGCTGCTGACTTGGACCTGAAAAACTTTTGCAATGTCAAGATCTTTCAGCTTCTCGTGGTCAAAGCAGATACGGTTCTTAGGACAATGTTTAGTTTTCAGCTTGAAGGTTGTCATCACAAGGTCATGATCGTTGCCAATGTCTGCACTAGGGATTATCCTTGTTTTCTTCTTGTTGACACTGAATTTGAAGCATTGTGGAACCAGAATGAAGTTTATCTGGTTGTGGGCTTGACCCATTAGGTGAGTGCTAGGTTGTGGTTCAACACAGTTTATTGGGAGTGTAGAGTGTTGGCCAAGGTGAGACCGTTGCTTCTGACAAACTCAAGCAGTCTAAAACACTGTTGCTGGTCTCCTCAATGCTAAATCTCCCGACTGTTCCTGCCCAGTTCTCACATGCACCTTGGCCTACTTTGGCTTTTCAATTCCTTTGCACAATGATGTCTTTCTTGGGGACTTCTGGTATGGTGGATTCTATAAATTCCTAAGACTTTTCAACTTCCTCATCATTGTGGTCTGAAATTGGAGCATAAACCTAGATGATGGTCATGTTGTGAGGTTTGGCTGATACATGGATAGAGATGATTCTGCTGTAGATGGGAGTGCAGCTCTGCAATCTCTTTCCTGACAATAAATGCCACCTCATACTGATATTTCTTCTCCTTTCCAGGGAGCCAGATCTTGTATCCATCCTCTGTTAATGTTTCATTGATGCTGTTCTATCTAACTTTGAACAGCTCAATGACATAGAAACTTTCTGTACTTATCTTAACAAAAATCAGTGGAAGGGGAGAAATCTGTAATCTTGTGACAAAAATATAATGAAAGAATATTATTTCATCTTCATAGAAAATTTATTGAAATGAGTTCCAGTTGATGCCATTTGATTGAAGGGGAGTCATAATTTGCATATGTGTTCAAAGAGGGATATAAAATGCAAAAATAGTTAGCCAAAGGCAGTAGCTTTATTTTTTCTTCCTTCATTACGACAGTGCTCCCTGGATATTCTACCAAAACTGTTGTTGAGAGTCCTAACTTTATTTTCTATTGTTACTTCTATAAAGAGAATTACTTCTATGCAATATATAGTGTTTTTTGTTGCAATTTGACACAAATGATTGCCACTGCAAGATTACGTGCCAGTAACAAGTAAGAATTCGTTATCATTTCTTTCTTTGCTGAGACCATAAATTAAGGGGTATTCAAAGATCGAATTTTAAAGTAACTTGCTAACTACTACAGTTCCCGACACAGAAACTATCACTCTTCTTATAGATGATTATTGAAGATCTCATTCCTTGATGATACCTCTCTACCACAGAAGTTAGTAAATAATAATGTTGATCATTCATTATGTTACTATTTTATTTTTAATTGTCACATAAATTGATGTTTATAAAGGTACCTCCAAAGAAAAGTGATACCTAAGGTTTAAAATGAATTTTTTAAAATGAAAAATCTTTCTTGAAGCTTTTATTTTAGTTGAAATTTCAAGCTAATAGATTAAATTTAATACTTCCAATAAGCAAAATACTTTGCTGTTTTTCAAACTGAATTTAAATTGATCAGAAAGAGGTTTTTTTTTTGTTAACAGTAAAAAAAAACACTAAAATCATCCATATTCATAAATTTATCAACACAACATAATTCTCTTTATGAAAAAATCTTTCAAAAATAAAATCTACTTTTCTGAAACTTTGAGGAAGATTAGTGGATTCAAAATCTGAAACAAATATTACTTACTTTTCAATTTAAAATATTGCAAAAAAATTGTTAATTTAACATGGTGCTGAGTGTTTTTATGAGGTATTGGCACATTTTCTAGGATTCTGGTTTCTATGTTTTGGTTGATTCTTAATGGGGGTTTTTCTTTTCCTTTCCTTTTTAGGAATGGCAGATGGAAGAGAGTTTCACCGATCATTCCCACCTGGGAAGCATAAGAAATGTGGCTGTGTCCAAGCGTCGAGGATTTTTAGCATCTGGAGGAACTGATGAAACTGTATGGTTGTATAGCTTAAAAAGTCGTCGGTTGATTGGCTCCCTCACACAACACACAGGTAAATGACATTTTCTCCGTTTTATTTCAAGTGACAAATGTCAGACATCGGTAAACTTTTTCAGAAATTTCAACAGAATTACCAGGAGAAACCATCATTGTATTATGAGGCGGAAGTGATGAAAAAAAATTTTTGGTGAAGGGCTTTTCTTTTCTTTTTTTTCTTATTTTTTTTTAATCATTTCACCCTAAACACAGCAATAAAGGCACTAAAATGCAATGGGGTTAGTGAGTGAGAGGGTATGAGAAAAAATGTTATTAAGGAGAGATGTCAATAAAAGTACAGGAATTAAGACAGAAGATAATGGCTGACATTGCATTTAAATTTTTCAAGAACAAAGTTGACAGGGAAGCAAGAATCTGGAAGAGAGTTCCACAAGTGAGAATCATGATAGAAGAAATTGTAAATAGAGCTTACGGTTACATCTAGCCATTCTCAAGGATGAGATCTTGCTGCTAATCTAATAGAGGATTTAAATTGATGAAGACTAGGTATCATAGAAGAAAGTTTATCAGAACAATTACCATGAAAGTGTTTATAGAAAAGGCACATGTAAGCTATGTTACAGCAACGGGGAAAGTGACTGAAACTGAGATGCTAGGTCAGGACTGATAACATTGCAGATTCTTCTTTGTAATTTATCAAGAATTTAGTTTGACAACTTTTCATCATCTCTCTCTCACACACACACACACACACACACATGATACATGAAATGTAATATTCTTACAATTTTATTGCAAATATTTAATTTGGTTTCTAAGCATTAACATTGAGTTGATATAAATATTTGTAGTGAAAGTTCATCCTAGCAGAAATTGAGATAAGTTGACTAGGATGTCCCACTACACCCCCACTATACTTGCTTGCCCTGCTCCTTTGGATTGTCAATTATTTTGATCCCTACAAAAGTCTCTTAATGGGAAGAACTTCAATTCTGTGGAAGTCTATAAGAACCACTTACTTTTCATCCTCCAGAAAGGGAGGATGGAACATGAAGTTGCCTCAAAGATAGCAAAAGGTAGTGGAATAAAATGGTAGATGTGTGGTTGAATAAATCTATTTACAAATATCTAAATACTGTTTTTGAATTTCACTTAAAAAAAAAAAAATCCTATAAACTTTTGGTCCAACCTAATATAAGTGTATCAGAAATTGCATTAATTCATATTTTTAGTGAAACAGAAATAAATCTCTGACTTAAAAATTGTTGGGCAGATTAAAAGCTTTAAGAAGAATAATGATGATTATTAGATTAACAATAATAATTTTCTTCATAATAAACATAAAAAATTTCTTAATTAATATTTGTTGTAAACAAAAAACTATTGTCCCTTTGCAAAGATAGTTGCCCAGGGAGGGAAAACCAGAATTATGTTGTGACCTGAGCTGACCATTACAGTGGAATTTCCATATTAAGTTTGATAAAGAAGACATTATTTTTTATTTTATTTTATATTTTACTTTCAATATTTGTTTTGAGGTAAACAATTTGTACATGGAATGTCCAAAAAAGTAAGATACAATTGTATACTAATTCAACATGTTTACTTCTGTACAAATAAAACACTGTATGTATGTTACCAGCACTACTTTTCTACATAGTCACCATTGAGATTGATGCACTTATCGCATCAATAACCTAAAGAATATTGTCAAATGACTAGGGCCACTATTATGCTTCTGCATTGTTTTGAATATGAAAGAATCTAGTTAGGACCTGATGGTGAATATGGTAAAACTTCCCAATTATATTTCTGGAGCCACTTTTTTGCTCAGTGTGGCATTTTTATGGGACCTAACGAGATGATGCTTTCTATTATTTCAACTTCTTGTAAGCAATTTCATGGAACATTGAATTTAGCAGATGAAGTTCCACAGCCATTTCATGAAGTTTGTGCTATCATCTTGAATGAAAGTGTCAATGTGTGTAATGTTATCTTCTGTTGTTAGTAAATGTGGGTGGCTTATGTGAGGCTTGTTATCGTGCAACTCAGAATTGGAAATTGGAGAGACTAGTTCCAATTCCAGATGGATTCATTATATTCACTTACACTCAAATACCCTTGGGAAAGGTATAAATCCACCTTTTCCCTCCAGCTATGGGTTAATTAGTAAGACTTGTATCACCAAACTATTATTATCTAAAAAAAATTCTGACAATCCAAAAATATTTTCTGCTTTTAAATAACTTGCAAAGTGTTGATAAGCTGTAAAAATCAAATTGATCCATCAAAATCCTGTTACTTTGTGTTGACAACTTTCACAATGTTTTAATGCCAGTCAGTTTATGCTGATGTGGACCTTACTTTTCAGACATTCTTTGTATTACTATATTTTTTTTCTTTTTATCTCTGTTTAACTTTATCAAACCCCATGCTAAAATTTCTCAAAACAACAATTTGGTTTTAATTTCTTTTATTTCTTTATGGGTTTTAGGTTCTGTGACATATTTACAATTCCACCAGGGAAGTCATCTCTTCAGTTGCAGTGAGGATGGTACATTGTGTTTATGGAAGACTTTTACCTGGGAATGTCTCCGTACCTTCAAAGGACACAAGTTAGTCATTTTTTTTTTTTTTTTTTTTAAGATTAGCAACTTTTTTTTTTTTTTTTTTATAACATCATGTTGTTTTCTCTAATCTTATTGATTTTCATTTTTTTGATTTACTAGCAAATCATTTTGGCCAATCTTCGGCCATCTGGCAACATTTAATTTCTTATGACTGCCAAGAATTACAAAATATTAAATTGCAAAGTCCACCGTTTTCTGCAATAATGGTTCAATGCAACAAATATGTGCCTTGAAGTTCATCTTTGCCACAGGGTCTGCACAGTGGCACAAGTGGTAAAAAAATGTAGAGATTTTGAATGGCATCTTTTCAAGCTGAGCAGGATATCTACACTTAGAGGATTGGTACAACACAATCTTCCTAACCATGTTTTATCTCCTTTTAGTCTTCATCTCATTAATTAGCATAATAAATATCAAGTCAGTCATTGCTACTTAAGTCACTTTTCAGAGCAGCCATAGATTTTGTGTGCATACTTTTATTATTTAAAAAAATAATATGCATACATGCATTGTTCATTAGACAATTTTAAGAACAAGGAGATGAAAATGTCCTTTTAAAAAATATTACCAGTGTCCGTATTTAATTAACAAATTTTCTAAGAAATATTTATAATCACAATTATTTTGACCTTGTGGCATACTAAACTGAAACCAAATAAATGCTTATCTTCAAAGATATTTTACAACATTATCTCCTCTTTTTACAGACATTTTCCTAAAACTTTGTTTAAATTTTGATTTTTAATTAATCTTGAATAGGACCCATTAAAGTAATGAAATGCTATATTTGCATGTTTAATTCCTTCCCATCATGCCTCTGCTTTTCTTTGTGATGTGGTGGGGGATATGGTGGAAATAGACTGGTTAATATTTTCACTTTCCTATCATTCATTAACTAGATTGACTCTGAGTCTTGGGAAGACATTTTTTTTCTCTTCATGCACCCCTTTTTTTTATTTATTTTTTTTATTTTTGTACTGAAAAAGGAATTCATGTTTGAAAATTTAAAACAGAATATGACTCTAAATTTTTTTTAGTGAATGTGTTGAAATTAGAAATCCCAAGGAATTATTGTCTGTTCCAGGGGTGGCATCAATTGTGTGGCAGTCCATCCTTCAGGAAAATTGGCTCTGTCTGTATCCAAGGATAAAACACTCCGTGCATGGAACCTGCTTAAGGGGCGTCGTGCTTATGTTACCAATCTGTATAGAGGTCAGTACTAAAAATACTTTGTACTTGCTGAGGAGAACTTCAATGCATCTTTAACTGCAAATTTATTTTAATTGTCAACAATTTATAAATTGGATTTTTTTAATATTTGCTTATGCTTTTTGCAAAGTCCAATGAAAATACGAGAGTTGCCTCCCTTGCTAAATTGCTATTACTTCTTTGTATTACAGTTGCTGATTTGGTGATTTGGTCACCAACTGGAGATAACTATATCTTAGTTTTTGGCAATAAAATCGAAGTCTACTTGACAGAGGTTAGTCTGTTTACTTTCTATGAATTACACACATTTTCATTTTCACCATGAGGCTCTTAAAAAAAAAAAACATTTTGTGAAAAAAAAAACATCTGGAATAATCTGTAATATGAATTTATTTAGTCTCTTAAAATATAAAGTGTTTTTTTTTTTTTTTTTTTTTTTTTTTTTTTTTTAAATGAATTATTGAATGTATTATTATTCTTTGATATCTGCATTAAAATCTCATCAGCCATTATTTTCTTTTCATCTTAAACAAAATAAAAAAAAAAAAAACTACGGGAAATTGTATCTATTTCAAAAGGATTTGCATGTCATATAACGAATATTAACCTGAAAAGTGTAATTGGTGATCTAAGTTCAATTAGTCAGTTGCATTCACTTTTGCACTAATAACCTTAAGAAAAGCATTAATCCAGCTTTTCTACTCCCCTAGCTATGGGTTAAAAAGCAGAGTAGACTTGGGTGACAACCAAAGAAAGGAAAACTAAATTTTAAACTGTGGGGAAGGAAACAGTGACCACTGTCTTTCCCAAGAATGTATTAAATCTGTGGAGAGTCATGATCGCCTATGTCCTGACAGGACATAACGTTAAATAATACATTTCAAGTTATTACCTTCATAAAGTGTTTAAAAAAAGGGAAAATACCTAAGAGAGATAATCTGAAAAGGAATTTTTGTCTTTTTTCCCCCCAGAATGCCGCATTGACAAGAATTATTGAGGCATCAGGACGTGTAAATGCAGTTTTGTTTGTGACGGTAAGTATTGATTGATAAAATGACACTAATGTCTCCAAGATTTTCATGGAGAGAGAGAGAGAAAAAAGATGTCATATTTTCATCTCTGTTCCAAATATCCTGGTTTTTCCTTTTTCTTGTCTTTTTAAATTCTTCCATCATTCTGTCTGTAAAAAGGTTCTCTTGGTGCATCAAGACATGAGCAAATCTTTATTTATAGTAAATAAAGTATTTGAAGATACAATCATAACAGCGAATGTTATTTGCCCCCCAAAAAACTTGCTTCATTGAAACTGTTAAATTAAATTTTCACTTCATCGAATGGTTTATTTAATTGAAAAATAAAAAATTTGAAAATTAAAGCAAGATAAGTTTTATATTTAAATAGTGTGTTTTTTAAAATTAAGTATCATTTAAAAATGTTTATTTACAATAATGAATACTGTTTTTCTCCATAAATTCATTCACGTTTGGTTTTATTCTAGTAATATTTGTTTAAAAAAGTTTTTGTATATTACTCTTACCCTTTTTGTTTATTTTAATATAACTGACTTATTGTCAATCATTCATTATCATAAATAAACAACAATCAAATTTTCAAATAATACATCATATAAGAAAAGCACCATTCAGGTATAACAGTTGTCTCCCTTTAATTTTCTGCATTTGGATTTGTTGGTGAATTAAACCAAACCCCTTTATTTACATATAAAACTAAGTATAACCTTTTGTTTGTGTATTTGTAGTAGGATGTACACAATATAGTTGCTTATTGATATGTTTATTCATTGTTGTTGTTACTGGGTTTTTTTTTGTTTTTTTTTTATGTCATTTTTTACTTTTGGAAACTTACCCAACAAATATTTCCCTTGATAACCCCCTTCCCACCTCGCAATTTCTCTGTTCATTTTAATAAAATCTAAATTACATGTTAATAAAAATCAGATTTACTTTTAAAAGGTTTTTAGTTTCCATTCATTTTCCCCTAAAATAAACAGCAAAATGTTGCTACTATTTCCTTCTAGTCATCCTTACACTTAGATTGCTTCTTGAAAAAAAAAAAAAATTTTTTTCAGTTGAGACCACAATCCTTTTGACAAACCTTAATCATAATGTGTTAACCATTTTGCTTCTCTTAATTTATTTATTTATTTTTATTTATTTATTTTTTTTTTCCGAGGATTCCCTGATTGCTTTTGCTGGAGAAAGTTCTGAAATTGAATTCTATGACATTGTAAAAGATGCTTCCCAACACAAAATAACCTTCAGCTCAACAAGGTGTGTACAATCATGTCAGACTTTTTCTCTGCTTTGCTTTCTTCACATCAGTGGCAATTGGTAGTGTCAATTTTACAAGTCCTTGACATTATTAAAAGATTTAGGATTTTTGTTTTAGGTATTTAGGTGAATGGGTGCCTTCCACAAAATCCAATGCAGTCTTGGATTTGAACTTAATCTATTGGTATCATAGGAATGCAAATTTCATATAAGGAATAAGGGAATTGAGCACTGGTTACGCTAGGGATACTTTTGTCCAACACTGTAAGATGCTACAAAATCCAAATATTAACCTGAAAACATGTTTTTAAATATCCTTGTCACATCGAGACTTTTGTATGGATGCCATTCATCGATTCAAGTTTGTTTAAAAATGTTTAAACTATCAGTTATATACAACCATTGTCTCAGATCTATGATGATGGCTTAAAGTAAATGAATCTTTTTAAATCTTAAAAAAGACTATCCTTTGTCAGATCCTATAGACTGGCACTAAAAATTACAAAGCACTTTACCAAATAGTATAAAAGCTACACCACAATGATATAATCAAAATGTTAACTTTCCACACTACTAAAATGTTTGCAAGGAAACTCCCATCAATACTAGAACGAGCAAGAACAGTAAAACTAACTGTTCGGTCAATGAATTTTGAATGTTTCCTGTGTGGAGATGGCTAATCTCACTATTACCATTAATTTTACCATTAAATGTGCATATCTCATGGCTCTTGTAGGATATGAGTTAGCTGTATGGATTTTCAGATTTGGTAGATATTTACCAACCTTAAATAAAGGCTAAACTGTAACTTGAAATAACCTATTGTAAGATTTTATAGTTTTAATTACTTGACTATCTACTCTCTTTGGATATCAATTTTGTTAATCTTAGTACAGGAGCTTGTCCAGTAGATATTAAGGTCAGTTTAGTATGGTGTAAAGTCAAATAGAAGTCTGAAGATGGTAGTGTGACAGTTTTTAAATTTACAAGATGGTTTTCATAAAATGTCTTTCTTCCCCATCTTTGTAAATGCCAAAGACACACATTATAGAAGACTACTTTTCTATTGGACAATTGTTCAGTTAGACCACAAGTTGTATTATTGAGTAACTTTTTCACTGAAAACTATTTCTGATTGTCAAAGTTGACTTTGGTAAATTCATATTCCCTACTGTAAACATATATAAATGCTTTAAATTTACCAGAATTAAGTGGGGAAAAAGAAATTATATATGCACACTGGGGTTAACACTTCATACTTCAAGGCAATGGATGACCTGAAGATTGCATTGAAGCATGGAGAACGGACTCACTGCTTGGTGTTAACCTCACTGACCACTTTTATATTTATATTTACATATGCTCTCTGTTTTGAGCACTTTTAACCATAAATATAGCATACCTTAAAATTATATTTTTATCATTTATTTTATACTAGCCGAGATACCCGCCATTGCCTAGGTATGCGTGGTTGTAATTGTATAACTGCATACCCCCCCCATCTAGAAATGTCTGCTTGCATCCATTGTCTGTTGGTATACTAAGCTACCCCCCCCCCCCAATCTTTCTTTACAATATGTCTTTCGCAAGTGTTTGATTGTTTTTAATAAAGTAATTCCTTTGATAAAACCTTCTATGGTTGTTGCTCAGAGTTAAATTGTTTCAATGTTTTAGATATTCAGTAAATTTCCTATGGCTGTAATAACTTTCAAATAGTATGACATTGTTCACAAATCTAATAATCAAACTAAAACAGGGATGAAGCGTCAGAGCTGGATTCAACTACAAGTGCAAACACAGGAACGTCCCCTCCCCTCCTCACGTTTACTGTAAAGCTGAGGTTAATAAGAGGTTCTTAGGGGAATTTTTCCTAACATTTCAATAATCCTTCTTAAACAATCTTTGTATCAAAGGTTGTTCATATGTCAATTTAGGATGGAATCATATAAAGAAACTATTGGCTAAATGACAAAAGCCGATTTTGGACTTAGTTTGTTGCAGATTTCATCCACTTGATTGAAATAATCTAAACCAAACATTCATACAAAACAATTTTTGTGTCATGTAATTTATATGGCAAATTTGGAAAGCATCAGATGAAAAACTAGGGAGTTATGGTCGAAAAACTGGCTTTTTGAAAAGTTTTTCATTATACACAGTGAAGCTAGCAGAACTAAAATCACAGTATCTTATTTCTTGCATGATGGCAAATTTTTTGTGACATGTTTGAAGAAAATTGGATAAAAAAAATAAAGATATACAAGTTTTTATTTTAAGTAATATGAAAAACCAGATTTTTTTTTTTCTGTTTGCAATTTTTTGTGTGAAGCCAATGTTGCAGGAAAACTATCGAGCACTCTAGACAAACCTCATAACATGAGTGAATGTTTTGCATTAAGTGTAGAGAACATCAGCTTATCCAGTAAAAATTTTGTTCACATGTAACTTTGCTTTAGTTTTTGCAAAAAGTCGTACCCACCTTCAGTTTTATTGATTTTTCTGGCAAACCCAGGAGGCCTGGAGATTGAAAAGTTGGTCTTGATCTATCTTGATCAATTTGCAACATGTGTGTACAATTTCATTAAAATTGGTTGAGAAGTGTGGACATGCATAAATAGCATACACAAAGACATCTTCTGTTTTATTTATTTATATATATATATATATAGGCAAGTGTGATTATCTATGCATTCTCTCTTCTGTAGGTTATAAAAGTTAATCACTGATGTCATTGGTTCAATATTTGATGTTAAAGGCAGAGGCAATGTAATTATTAATAAGACTAAAAACTAAATTAATTTTTAGAAAATCCTGATCATTACACAGTTTTAAAAGAAAAGAAATTAGTTATGACTGTTTTGTTGTTTTATTCCAACATTTTAATATGATAAATTCTCTTTTGAACATTTTAAACAATTTGGATGACAGCCAAAAGGCAGTCAACAATTTTGTGGAGAAGTAGTGATGATGATTTATTTGCCTTGTCATAGCAGTTTTGGTAGTCATTTTAGTTGGAAGGGGTTTGTCACATGGTGAGCTCATTTTGAAGTAGTTTGGAGGTTCAACTCTGAACTGAAGCTATTTCCTTAAAAATATCACAAATTTATTTAACAGTTGAAGAAGAATAGGGCAACTAAAAATGTGATGGCAATAAAAAATTGAAACAAATAATAAAATGTTTAATAAAAAATTACTTAGAATCTCCAAACATCTTGACTGTCTTGTATGAATTTTAATTATTTTTCTTTTTGAGAATTTCAATAACTTTACTGTTAATTCTTACTTTGTTGTTTGTCTCTTGGGGTTTCCTATCTGAATTTCCTATTGGGTTCTTGCTCTGATAAAATGCTGATTTTTTTTTTTTTTTTTTTGATTTTTTTTTCTCCCCTCAATACAAACAATCTTTTACCTACCCTTCTCAATCTGACACAACACAATCTTTTTCTCTCTTCATTTTGTGTCGGATCAAGCTTTTTAAATACCAACATATATGTTTTCTTCTTACATGTATTTCAAATGCTCCAATGTTTGCACCGATGCATTATGATGGTAGGCAAATGAAGTCATTCTACCATCCATGTTTGGTGCTACATGAAAAGAATATAATCCCATGTGGTATCAGTTGTCACGTAACAGACACTTGTGTTCAATTATGAACATGGGAACATTTGTTGAATGATAAAGATAACATGAAAATGAACCTCCTCTTTCCAAATTTGTCAGATTAAATTTCTGTATTTAATTTTCAGAACACGTGGTTTGTGTTTTAAGAAACTGCCATCAGGTAAGGAAATCCTTATCAGTGCCTGCAGTGATGGTTTCATTCGTATTTGGAACGTCTCTCTCACTACAGTAAGTTACCTTTGGCCTTCTCTTTCTCTCTCTGTCCAAGATTCCTTTACCGTTTTTCTACCACTCATTTCACATAAGCAAAAATAAAAACATAGATATCTCTTTACTTTTCCAAGAAACTGAAAATCTCTTGTCATTTACTGGCCATTCTTACATCATGGAGAAACAAATCAAAGCTGTGACTGCAGTTGAGATCATAGTCATCATGAACTCCACAATCTTTTTGTTAAATGCATATACTATGTGCTTCACCAGGTCTGCATACAGTTTTTGAATTCAGTTGGCTTTCTCCTAAACTGACTTCCAAACAAGGCAGAAGAGCCTTGTCTACTTTACTGTTTAACCCATAGCTGGAGGGAGAGATAGATTCATACCATTCCAAGGTTATTTGAGCATAAGTGAATGTAATTAACTTGAGTGGTATTCAAACTTGACTTTCCAATTTTTTATTCTCGGCTACTATCCATTACACCACCCACACATCCAGAGAGAAAATCTTTTATTTACTTGAATTAATTGGAAATTTCCATCTGTCACCAATTTTTGAGCTCTGTTAAAAACCAGGACTTGTAGTGGAGAATGATTGAATGATTAGTGCAACACAATCTTCTTCCCTCTCATTGTCAAGTTTGGGTCTTAATGAAATTCTTGTTTAATGTCTTTCAGGATGGAATTACTACAAAATGTTTGCTGCAACATAATTCCACTTTCCGTCTTACATGTCTTGATGCATTTGTAAATGTGCCCAAGCAGCCCTCAGCCACTCGGGAATTGAAAACCAAAAATGAAGAACAACAGAGTGAAGAGGAAACATTGTCTCCACTTCCTGTCAAATCAAAAGAACATTTATCAAAAAGAGCAAGACATGAAGAAGGTAAAAGAAAAAAAAAAATTTGGTCTTCTTTTTGAAATTGCTTCTAAAAAGAAAGTTCCTTAAAAATCACTTGTGTGGATTTTGTGTCCATTTTTGGAATTTTTAATTTTATTTTTAGCTTTTTTTTTTTTTTAGGAGGAGGAGGAGGAGGAAGAGTGCAGTTAAAACTTTGCCTCCTGTATTCTGTTTGTGTATTATGGAAAACAAAAAACAAACCAAGATTTTGTTTAGTTTTCTGTTTAACTTGTACTTATGAATATTATTTTCTTAAACATGATGTCTACACAACCAATGAAAACAAAACAACATAAAATTTACAAATTAAACCAGAACTCTACATCCAAATTATTCTGATGATGCTGAATTGTGGGACATGTCAAATTTATAAAGATTTTCTTGTTCCTTATTTAATCAAATCCAAAAACATCTGCATTACTCATTTCTCCTTAATATCGTTCAGCTGCTCTCATCTTGTGGTTTGAAAAACCTTTCTGTCACAATATACTTGTTTTATTACACTAAGTATAACCAATGTGTCATCAGTGGACATTCATAAACAAACATTGCAGCTGATGCAATCAGCTGTGTGAAAGGATGTGGCATTCAATAATATTTTGAAAGTTGGTTGTTGAAACTTAATTAGGCTTTCATCCAGTATACCAAAGAAAACTGGTTAGTCAACTTGCAAAAATAAGTACTAAAAAAATTATTAAAATAATAATCTCCCCACCCACAAAATACAAACTTTGTTCCAGTCTGTCAGTAAATGTGCTTTTTTATTTATTTATTTACATCAGAAAAGGTTACAGCCAATCATTCACAGAAGTAGAATAATAAAAATTATGAATGTAATAAATACTCCAACACACACACACACACATCCAACAAGTGACAAGGAAGTCATTCAGATGTAAATTATGCCCTCTAACTTATAAAAACAACTTTGTCTATTCCAGTATGATTGGCTCTCAAAGGAGTTTAGGGGTAGAAGGAACAAAAGTTAAATGAAAAAAAAAATTTTATTTTGAAGTAGAATTTTTAACATTTATAATTTTGTTTTTTTTTGTTTTTTCCCCAGGTGTTGAAATCACCAAGAAGAAAAAGAAGAAGAAAATTTGATCAACAAAAATATTTTGTAAATTTTATAAATAATGCATAGTTTTTTTTACAAAAAAAAAAACTGTTTTTACTCCTTTTTTTTTTTTTTTTTTTTTTTTCTTCTTCTTAATCAGAAATAGGCCATTTGACTATTGCACTGTTTCTGATAGGCAAGTGCCTCAGATCTCTGTTTCTTACCGAGGTTCAAACATTTACTGTTGTCTCCAGAAGGAAATATGCAAATATCTCTACCACAGGACAGAACTACAACTACTAAAATGACTTCTGTACAGATCTATGTTCATGAAGCACTATGTGAAAAAGGAACTCACTGTCGACAGCTTGTAGGACTGGCCCACTAATCTCAGGGGATAATAATAACAATGAAGGTTTAATAAATTCATTTAGCAGGGTTCAAAGGTGAGAAATTATATTTATCTGAGAAATATATTTATCAAAGTTGCAAATGATGTGCATAAAAAAGGTAAACAATAAAATATTTGTTTCTGCACAACAAAACCTCCATAGAAGTGATGGAGTGGAAAGAGTGGAAGCAAAATTGATTGTATATAGGAAAGACATCTGCAACAATTGTCTTAAGTAAGGTGAGATTAATTGGATGCTGTCAAATATGCCACAAAAGGCTGATTAACAGTTTTAAAACAGTTTAGCAGAAATTTAGAAATCCCCAAATGGGAAAGATAGAAATCAGTTTAAATACATGTAATGTAATTCCTGCCAACCTCCCCACCCCCAATCTCAAACCAATGATTTTGGGATCAAGAAAAAAAAATGTTGAATCCTCAGTTTTATAAGACTGTATTAACTTCAAAAGGAATTTGATATAGTTTTTATTGATTAGGCCACAATTCTCTTTGGTTTGAAAAGAATGATCCTAATTTTGCAGTGGTAATGGTGGGTGTAACAATGTCCATTCCCATGCAGATCCTGACTGAATCTTCTGTTGTCATGGCCTTGATCCAGACGAAGCAGGAGGTTCATAAATATCTCTATTCGTGACAAAGAAAAGATGGTTGAGTTGTGATTATTTAACAAGTCATCAAATGTTAGCTGCTTGATTCCTGCAACATCATCTCAAATTGTCACTTTAGCTGGAATATATTAGAAAATAATTTAAAAAAAAATATTTTGCATTCAGAAAATAAATCCAGAAATATTTCCTTTGCTCAATTTGGGGTCCTTTGAATATTTCTCTTTTCTTTATAGTCTCATCTGGAAATACCTGAAAGTAAATGAGAATTGAATCTGGATTTAAATTTGAAAAAAAATGTTAAAAGCTGCTATTGGTGGTTATTAAGCACAATACTAAATCATTTCATATTCATTGAATTTATCACCATTTGCAGATAAATTAATAAAAGTATCGCCACCACTATCATCATCACTCCTATGGCCAAGTGTGGTTGTAAAGTTGCTGTGTAACTGAACACCTAACCAATTCTTTTCATATATCTGATTTGAGAGCCATTCATTCATTCATTAGTAGAATGTCTTGGGAAAGAAAGTAGACCTGGCGGAGACCATCCCTCTCCAGTTCAAACCATAATTGATGTCCTCCTACTTGAAGGCTTGCCTTGATCATGCACAAGTGGCTATTGATTTTATCAGGGGAACACTTCACCCTTGCTGTTGACTTCAGTCTAGGAAGCCCTACACTTAGCAATGCCATCATGTCATTACTCCACTGGCTTCATCTATAGCTATGGAGCCCAGTTTACCACATTGTGCTAGATGGCTGTTGACCCTACAAGAAGTTTTCATCCACCCTTTGCCTTTAATTCCACTTGGTGTCTGGCCACTTTCCTCGTCAGAAAAGCCTGGTGGGGGAACATTACGTCTTATAGATAAAAGAAACCACCCTATAAATAGTATGTCATATGCTTGGAGGGAGACACATTTATTATTGTGCAAACAGGCCTAGAAATTAGTTTATTCTTCAAGTGAGAACAATTAACAGTATTGCAATAACAGAAATCTTGATCTGTCTATATTTCTGAGATGAGGTATTGTAACTATTTACATTGTTTGAACTGTTGTCTTCATCTTTGTTATATTCGTGGTGTTTCGGACATTGTACACTCTGGCCTTTTTCAGGCGATATATGTTGGAATTTCGTTCACCAGGGTAGATTGTTCTAGTTCCACATGCCATGCCTTTTCTGGATATCTCAGTTTCAGTTATTTCCCCTTAGTAACTCAATTCTCCAAGTTTTTGTTCACCTCTGCTGTAGCCAGGTATTGAACTCACAACTGTACATGGCCTAGTGGATAAAAGCATTGGTTGAAGTAATCCAGTGATTTTAAACCAAAGAGCTGAATTAGAACCATCTACCACTGTTGGTTGAAATAAAGGGTTCAGTTCAAAATTACACAAAAGACAGACATATGTAATTAAAGAACAATTTGACTTCAAGGCAGATAATAACTACCATATGCAATGAATACATGTTAGCGACATCAGTGATAAGCCAAATCTACTCTCATTGTTTCTCTATTCTGTATCAGAATTGCAAGTTTGTCGGTGTTTGCGGTTGAGTGACAGATTAAAGCTGATTTCAAGACATTTTTGTTTTACTAAATTCATTTTAACCTAGAATAAGGTCATAAGAACAGAGCATAATGTGAAGATCAAATTTATGACCCCCACGAACGGTCTAGCTACATAAACAACAGATGCTCCTTTTGCCTTTTGAAATAAGACTAATGATTTTGTTTACATTTTCATATTTTAATTTCCTATCAGAATTGAAAATACAATGCATCTCAAATTATCAATTGGATATATTGAGTCGGAGCTTTGTGACCTTGTGCCAATCTTATTTTGCTATGATGAGCAAGTTTACTTTGCATAGCATTAATATTATGAGTTTCATCCTCATTAAGTAGACTTGTGCTAGACTATGCCTTTTTTTTTTTTTTTTTGCAACATGCTAATGCATGATGAAATCCTCACCATATTTAGTATTATTGATTAAATTTTTTTTTTTTTTTTTAATAATGGGAGTATTTTGTATATTAAATAATAAAATTTAATTTTTCCAAAAAATAATAAATATCCATTGTACTAAGCTATGCACCCTAGTAAAACTAACTGTACTTTGTAACCCTTCACCTGTTTGCACTTCTCCCCAAAATTTGGTTTTGATTGGTCAATGTGTGGCTATTTTAGAGGGTGTGATGGATAAACCAATAGAATTTTATACATAGATAAATACCATTATATTTATAAGCAATGAATTTTTAAATGTACATAGTTTAACGATAAAACCAACAATAGACAGGAAGCTGTGGAGAAACAACATGTTTGCTCATGTCTTGAATGAGTAGGGAAGAGAGATTAAGTCAGTATTAATAGTCGGGTATAATTATGTAAATAATATACCTAACAATGCGTCCAAACACATTTATCTTAATCAATATTCATTTTTGACTGATATTTAATTCTTTGGTTTTTCATTTCAACTCCCAGATGGTCGTTATACGATCTTTAGTATTGTTTGGTGGTGAGTTGTGTTGTTGACTTTGTCAGAGCTGCTATTGAGACAGGAGTAAATGGTAGTGTTATCTGCATAGATGCCTACTTGGGAGTTGATGGCATCAGGAAGATCATTAATGAAGATCAAGATAAAGCCTTGAAGGACTGTATTCATAAGAAAGGATTTGGAAGCATTCCCATTCAGGATTACCTTCATTTCATGGTTTGAAAGGAGTGATTGGATTAAATCAAGTAGTTGTCTTGTAATACTGTGGCCCTGAAGCTTACATAGAAGACTAGCATGCCAAACCCTGTTAAACACCTTCGAGATATCTAGAGCCGCAGCTCAAGCTTTGCCATTCTTATCAAGAGTATGAGATATATTTTCATTCAATTATGGGCAAAGTGGAATCCATATTGAGCAGGTCTTGAGAGGTAAGATGTTTAATCAAATCAGTATTGATTAAATCGAAGATTTTGCTGAAAAGTGGTAAGAGACTGATAGGCTGGTAGTTAGAGGGGTCAGAAGCTTCTCCAGAGTTTTTAAAAACCGTCTACAGATGAGGAATTCCGACAAGCTGGAAAAATTGAGGCAACGGAATGAATCAAAGATTAAACTGAAATGCCAAAAATTAGACACAGTTTTTTAACATGTTGTTCCTTATGCCTGGATAAACAAGGCAATCTAATAAACTTTTTTTTTTTTTTTTTTTTTTTTTAATCATTTTACCCCAAGCAAGGGGTTAGTGGGAGTAAACAGGAACAAGAGTAATTTTGGAGAAGGAGCTGGAAACCCAATCCTAAACAGGAAACAAGGGAAAACCTCTACTCCTGTTCAAAAGGCGAGGCAGGATGTGAACTAGGTGATAGGTGAATATCTATCTACTATTAAACTTATATTTTGAAATGTTTTGCTGATGAAATGGCATCACCAGAAAAAATAATTTTAATTCATATTTTTTGTTTTTCTAATGACATCAGATAATCCATGAAACGTATGGTAGAAATTTTCAAAATTGTCTTATATATCTATTATTACGTTGGATTCTCCTCAACTTTATACATGTGTGGTGACTTAATTTCAGGCCTCAATGCCGTCTTCAGACCATGAACAACAGGACCTTTCTTGAACTTTCTACGGTTGTGTTTATTGGGTGCAGCTGCAAGTAATGAGAGATGTTTTGCAAGATGTCCCACCCATGCTCCAATGGAGTAACTAAAAGATAGTTGAGTGATCCTGACATCAATTTCGTGTCACCTGCGCATAATGGCGGGTTGTGTTATCTTGCTGGAACAATCAATCACCAGCAAGAAACCTGGTGACCATAAAGAGTTACCCGTATCAAGATACATTTTCATTCGAGGTTCTTGGGAACTTCAACAGAATATACTCTACACCATTCCACAACATCCTGATGACCGGCTGGATTTATAGCTTCATGGCGTTTCCTCCATACATGAACTCTACCATCAGCCTGAAAGAGTTATAAATTTGATTCAATTGACCAGAAGACAAAACGTCAATCTTCCATGGTCCAATGAAGATAATGTCTGGATCAAACAAGATGCAGTAGTTGATTCTGTGGTGTCAATAAAATTATACCTGTTGGCTGACATCAACAAGACTTCATGAAATCCATTATATACTCTACAGCAATTTGGGCACTTTGTGGCAGTGTAATGGTTAGCAAGCTTGTCTTGCTAGAATAATTACGACTGAGCAGTGAGTTTGATCCTCACTGAGTGCCCCCTACTTTCGGCCTTGTACCACATCTAAGCTATGCTTGGAAGATCACTATACTGTACAGCAAGTTAACTGTTAAGTGTCACCAGCATTGAATCATAATTTTATTTGATGTCATTTTCTCCATAATTCAGTGTTTAAAATCCTTGGTTGCTGGCAGTTCCATTCTGTGGGTGCCTGCAGTTTTTGCATACCTGTTAGCTCTGTCCAAAATTTCTGATATACCCTAGCTAGAGTTGTATAAGACAAAATTTTTCCCTCAAGTCTGATAGGTTCGATAAAGTAAACTTAGCAGCTAGTCTTGAAAATGACCTTCAGTCTGTTGTTAACTGGTGCAAGAAATGGCTTAATTTTGACGCATTTAAAACGAAACTGCTCTTTTTTTAATCATAAAAATCATATTTTGCTTTCCATCTTCCTGGAAGAGTGACTCATCATTCTTGATCTAACGTCTTGCATTGACATGAAGTAGAATGATTTTATCGAGCCAAATGCTATGTCTGCTGCTAGGAAAGTTGGTTCATTGTGTTGCATTAGATGATATTTTATCCCAGGTATCTATTTTACACCAATCTATCATCCGTTCGTGTGTTGAATATTGCTGCTACATCTGGTCTGCTGCTTCAGCTATTTATCTAGAGATTCTTGATGTAAGCCAAAGAAAAATCTGCAATGTCAACGTCCTGACCTGGCGCCATGGCATCAGTCGCATTCCCATCGTCATAACGTAGCTTCCCTTTGCCTTTTCTATAAATACTTGCATGGTAATTGTTCTGACGAGCTTTCCTTTTTGGTATCACGACTTCAGTTTTAATGTTCTCTCTCTCTCCTCAACATTTCCCAGTTTCTTTAATTCTCGGTAACCCTCTCGCGTCTTAGTGGCTGTATTGCCTTGCTTGGAGTGAAAAATCCACTCTATGGTCAAATTATCATCCGGCTGAGTCCATTTCTATAAGCGGGAAGAAAAATCTTTCAGTGGCTGAGCGATTTCATTTTAATCCGCT